TTTCAGCCTTATCGTTTTTCACAAAACGCTTTTCAATATCTGCAAGGAACTCATTAGCATTAGTTATCCCTTTGGATACTGCACCTCTAAAAGCTTCTGGAATGCTACACTTAATGATCATTAGAATCATGCGATTTGAGCGATCACACTTCTCAAAATTCTTCTTGTCATCAGGTGAACTTTTTTCCGTAAGAGGAGTGAGTTGCTCAATTTGAAGTGCAAGATCCAGATCCATGCAGCCAAGAACAATCATTATGTTCTCTTTCCAATCCTTGAAGTTTGTCCCATTAAGCATGAGAATAGAATTAACATTGACAGATATAGTAGTAGCAGATGAACTTGTTGTGTAGAGAACAAAATAAACAAATAACCGTGCTTACATCAATATCCACACTTAATAATCAATAAATTCAAATAATGGTGAGTCCTGTCCCACGATACTTAGCACATCATTAATATCAAATTTTTGGATAATAATATTAATAGCTAGTGGTACTCTTGATGTAGTGATCAAATATTGACAAGAACTCCTGTCAAATAATAAACCCATATTTAGATTGATCTATTATTCACATGAAAATCTTATAATTGTCACACATCACTATCCCAAGTGTGCATGCAATTCAACTAAATATTAACCTTCCTTTGGGCTGGCTAATACCCGCATGAACAAGCACACACACAAATATCTAAACATCTTAAACAAACCAACCTATACAAGAGAGGTCACTTTGGTGACATATTGTTTCAATTAGTTTATTTAAAATGCGAGACAATCTTAATTAAGTCCAAATTGGTTTCTTCCCACATTTAAAACCCACAAATGGCACTCAAATTCAAGCCGCAAAAAAATAGAGATTTGCAGCCCATCAGAATTAAGTCCAGAATGGCTTTACAAGGTTTCAAAAAACAAGCCAATGTCACATGGCTTCCATGATTAAAAATGGGATTAAACAATTATTCAATTTCATGTGGCAGCCACAAATAGTTAAACAAATAGAATTCGTTCACAATTGGAATCTGAATATATGAATAAATTCACCAGTGCCGCTGCAATTATTAATCGTATTCAATAGTTTTAATTCTCTCACATGGAAGCCGTAAATTCTAACTTTAGATCCAATTATGCCGCCATAATCTTGATCCATTAATAATTATTATCAAATTCTACAATTACTTAAATTGTTAAATTCGGAAACATCCAAAAATCCATATAAACATGTCAAATTTCAGATAATAACATAAAGGAAGATCAAATAACCCAAAATTCAGAATTGTTAAAAACTTTATTTTTACAGTTTCTCAAAAATTCAACAATAGAGTGGCTCTGAGAAGATTTTTACAAAATTGTTTAGTTCTCTATCAAAACTTTTATCAAACCCTTTAACATGCATTAATTCCTCCATGTTGAAATCAAAGACAAAATTAGAAGCGAAAGCATACCTTGATCCATAGATATGATTACTTTAGCGGGTTATGATCTTCCACTTGATACGTAGTTTCTTAGGAATTTTTTCTCTGTTGATGGGGGATGCAGAGAGATAGAAAATTCACGTTCAATTCGGAACCACGACCCATGATAAATAATTGAATTAAGCAGTTATTATCTTTCAATGCTTTTAAATTGACCCCTCATCAATTTAAAATAATCGTTCTAGTCTCTATAATTTATTTCCATGACATTTAATATCCTTATTGTCCAAAATTAACCCCCACACATTGGAATTTTCCAACAGCAATACAACGACAATAGCCCCCACAAAAGTCTACTAGTTTTCATATGGGTTTCGCTCTTTGGAGTTGCGTTTGCTACTTTCATGATGGTGGCTATCAAGCCCGCCATGAACTGGGTGGTGAGACGGTGTTCATCGGAGGAAGACACAGTGGACAAGGCATATATATATATACCAGGTGCAGATCTGGTATGTTTTTGAGCAATTGATTTGATTATGTTTTTCAATTGTTGAGCAAAATAGAAATTAAATTAAAATTTGTGATATTTCTGTTGTGGTGAGTTTTGAGTGGCTATGGTGGGGGAAAGGGATTCATTTTATTTCTATTTCCAAATTTTTAATTATTTATTTAGACTCATTTGCAGATTTTTTTAAAAAAATTGAGAGTATGATTACAATTAATTTTTATTTTTCCTTTATTTTCTTTTTGTTTATTTAAATTGAAGGGTATATTGGCCATTTTACAGCTTTCTATTGAAAAAGTGGATGGAAATGAATAAAATGATGATTTCCGCAATGAAAGATGAAATAAGAGTAAAAATGCAAAAAAATAAAAGGTAATAGCGGTGGATTAATGTTAATGTGGCTAGAGGAGTGGAAGGTCCAACTTCTATCCTTTTCAACATTCCATCTCCATTATGTTGTCTCTTACAGAAGTGGATCAAAATGGAACCTCATCAATTTCTATGGGGATCCAGTTGCTTCGTAACGCCACAACTCCTGGACAGTCTTACGAAGATTGGTGGGGGGCTGTGCACACCCGCTTGTTTGCATAGGCGACTTTAATGAAATTTTGATGGCTAACGAGAAATGGGGATGAAGTAACCGTACCAGATTATCTATGGAGGGTTTTAAAGAGATGGTACAGGACTGGGAATTGAGTGATCTTGGTTTCTCGGGCCCGGAATTCACGTGGGCCAAACACTCGCGGGTGGACAATAATATTCTCGTTAGACTTGACAGGGCCTTGGCCACCTTGGAGTAGCGTGACTTGTTCCCCAGGGCTCTGGTTTCGCATATCGACTTCTATGGTTCAGATCACCGTGCCATTGAACTCGTCCTTCAGTGAAATAGTGGGGGGCCTCCAAGGCGCAAGAGACTACGACAATTCAAATTTGAGCCACTCTGACTTTGTGAGAAAGGTTGCATTGATGTCATACATGAAGGATGGAGCCTTGGACGCAATCTTCATGTGGACAGTGATGGAATTGAAGGGCGGCCAGAATCAGCTAGTATGGGTGGCGAA